TCTTCCAACATGAAAATATGAAAAGTTCATTTATTTCCATAGGCAACTTCATTCACAGTACAAAGTGATATGAATTTCTTGAAACTGTCACTGTACCTTTTACATATTTTTTAAGTAGCTGATCTAAAAGTTGATACAAGAATAAATTTTTTCAAGAGCTGTCCAGTAAACTGGATATACACTAATGCCATGCCATGACAGTTCTAATTATGAATCACAGCTGACACTACACTAACATCACTTTATAAATCTCATGAGAATTTTAATGTTTTACAATCAAAACATAAAACTGCCACTAGTACAGAGACTGTACGACTAGACAAATAAACAAGTATTAAATATTTTGCACAAGGCCTGAGTTCACTATAACACATTTTGATTTACAACTTCATCTCAGAAATCTGTACAGCAGTTAGAACTGTTTCAGAGAACTTAAAGACAAGACAACTTCAGGGGCTTATTTGTTCTGGTGATATAAGTGTGAGGCCTGGAAGGCAAGAGGATTTGGTGTATGAATCCAAGGTTTTACTGCCTTGTGTAATTTCCTCATAAAGCAGTCAAAACCTAATGGAAAGTAAGGTACAAGGCAGGACCTCACTTGAAAATCAGCTAAGTCATCTGAAATTCTCCAGATAGGTTTCCTCACAGCTATTTCAGAGTAAAAGTTCACAATGACTATATAAAATGCAGCATATCTCTTAACAAAGAACAAAAAAGGGTCACATATACAACAGGTATTTTTTCTGTACTTCCCCCTCCCCCCCATTTCTTTCGTTGGAAATGGCACAAATCAGTGATATCCCACCCACCCCCAATAAAAAACTCCTAATCAATAAACAAAGGTCACTCTAAAGTCCAAAAACTTCAACTGCAATGAGAGATCCAGTGTTTGTAAACTTACATTTTAAACCTTTCCTTTTCTGCTCCAATCAAGTAGATGTTGGCAGACTAAGCATGCAAATTTATAACAGATAAGAAAAGTATCATATAATTGTTAGCTTATATGGAAGCCTTGTGGAATTTGATTCAAATCTAACTTCTCATTTAATCTTTGCTCTTTTGGTGCAACTGAACTGAAAAATCTAAAATCCTGTAATCTATATACACACTTACTTATCTATCTACAGACCTAGATTACATTATAACAGGAATTATAATACAAAAGTCAACACACATCTTTCTTACTTTAAAAGGCCATTGGGGTATATGTTAAAGTTCCACATAAATGTGAAACAAGTGTTGATAAAAAGACAAAACATAACAGAAAAGGAAAGTTTTAAATAACAAGGCTTGAAAGTTTGTGCACCTACGCATCCAAAAGTTCAGGTTTTTACTTGGAGTATTCAGCATCTATGCAGACCTGTAAGGCCACAACTTCCCCAGGATATTTCTAATTCACATCACCATTGAGAGATGAAGTCATAGTATCTCCACTAAAACAAACTAGGGCATGCTACCCGTGTTCTCAGTAAAATCTCTCTCCCCATTTCCCAAATAACTGGTGGACTCCTTTACCTTTCAAAAGACTCCTCTGGTACTCCTGTCCTCCTGCATGAGCAGGTTCCACAGGCTGTTCTGTGCCTTATTCACACCACTTGTGTGAAAAGGAACAGCAAATCTGCTCCCTCATCCACCCTTGAAATGACACTTGAGCCATTTCACTCCATCTCTCCCCTCTTGAGAGGGGCAGACCCTGGGGCTTCTAAGCTAATCTGTAACTCAGTAGTTTCAAGGTTCCTCTCCATCAGCCACAGCAGATGAAATTTTTCAGGCCTCTTTAATACCATCCTTCCATCTAGCAGGATTAGTTTGTTTTCTGCAACTGAATTTTCAGAGGATGCTTCAGAGACTTTCATACTTAAAACCAAATGGAACCAACAGTTCTTATATGGAAAACACTGCTGTCTTGGTGCAGTCAACGTTCATTTACCATACACCAAAGCAGCCAAAGGACAACTGATGCTTATACTTAAGATGTGCAGCTATTTTTACTTCTTTTCTCCTTTTGTAGTAAACATAATATAGATAAATCAATTAAAGAATAGGAACTTACACCCTTCTCTAGCTCTTCTTTACAAATGAATGTAAAGTAAACCAGGTGGGCTGGGCAGTTCAGCCAGGACCCTGCTCTAATTTCCACAGTAGAAGGAAGATCTGCTTGCAGTGGGCTTTAAGGTGATGATACAACCTGCCAGGCTTCCACATTTTTTCCTTTAAATTAGGTTGAATACAAACGTTGAATTTACAGTACTGTTCAAGGCATTGTAATAAGAACTTATTTTATATCAGGGTACTTTTTCAGTATCAGAATTTGCAATTTCTTAATTAGATACCAATTTCAAACCTGCATTCTCCATTTCATTTTGCATTAGGACTATACAGTCCTTCTGCTTCAGGCCAAGCTAGATGTAACACTTCTTTCCATCCAAGGTCAGAAACAGAAGGCCCCTGGAATGCCTACATTTTGTAACATCGTCCCTTCCTCCTACTTTCCCAAACGACAACTTGGATGTGAAGCACAACTGTTGCTCTCAAACAATGGTATTCACTCTGGCCACAACATGAGTCTTCCAGCCTCTTGCAGGGCCTCAGAATGACGACTTCTAAGTGGAGAGATCAACTGGACAAGGCTTCCTAAAGAAAAACTATTGTAGCAGGGGCCAAATGACTTACCTCTTGCAAATCCTCTTTAAGTTAAGAAGAAATAATCAGAGAACTTCGTGCACACACAATTTCCTGACACACTAAGCAGGAAAACATCTATAAGGAAGAGGGATTTGACCCCCTCATTTTAACTGAAGGGTTTTTTTTATTTTATTTTAAAATAACTGGAAAAATTTGTTATAACTTTCATAAGCACCCTTTTCAGTTTTCTTTGTTGTTACTCTTCTACTCTAGTTATTCTGAAAATTGCAGCAAACAAGAAAAATCAAAATTATGTTCACAAATATAAACAGAAAAAAACATTGTATTACTTGAGCCAGATAAAGATCTTATTCCATCACATTACCACTGCATAGAAAAGACTCTCTTAATTTGAACTTGTAGGATTTTTTTGACTTTGTTCTTACAAAAGCGATTATGTCTCAGATAGCCCATGCCAAAAGCATATACTCCAAACTCCACAGTTTAGGAGGTCTAGTATATAAAATCAGATCAAATTTTTTCAGTTAATTTTCCCTCCAATAGGTTAAATTAAAATCCAGTTCTGAAAAGCCCCTAGTCCATGGGGATCAGTGACTGAAACCCCAGATCAGAATACTGACATTTAAGACTGCCTTTATCATGGATGTATTAATTTAATACATTATAGAGTCCTAAGAGATGTTATTTTTAATATAAACTTATTTTCCAAATAATTTAGAGGAATACAGATTCAAGTAATTCTTCAAAGGCTTGCCTTAAGCTACCCTAATAAAATGTAGCTTTCAAAAGTTGACATAAAAGAAGACATTAGTGTGATTGAGAGTGTAGAGTACTAGTAACCGTAAATGAACTTAAATAGCTTAACAGGTCTAGTATTGTACTTAAGTTTACACAGATATCTTAACATAACCTACAATGTTTACCATGAATATTAACAGCACATAAGCATCACAATGTGTTAGGTATTGTTTTCTAAACCACAATTTCACTGGTCCCAGGTATTTTAAAATAATAGGACTAAGGCAGCAGCTATAATACATAAACAATTATTTAAGAAATATGCTTAATGCTATTACCGCTTAGAACTGTGGAAATATAACAAAATACAAGTCACATTTACAGCATAAGGCCCTTTGGTTTCTTAAGCAGCAAATGAAATAACAATTTCTTCAGTGAAAGGCTTTGAAAAATAAAGCATGTAGGCTTTCCATAAAAAAAGGTAACTAGTCCTTTCCTTCTCAAAATAGCCAGCTATAGTCTTCAAAATATTATGTAAGAAAGCTCCTGAAATTCCTAGGAAAGAAAAAGTTTAAATCCTACAGTAGTATCTGACAGAGTAGAGATTCTATCATGGGCAAGCTGAACATGCACCTTCTGGGAAGTAGAAGAAACTACTGTTTGGATTTCTGGAGAGCTTTATTAAATTTGGAGTAATACAATAAAAAGGATCTGAAATGCCTGTGTATTTACCATATATTCTAGAGCTTACAAATCCATATTTGAGAACTTGCTTCATATTAATCCGTCCTTCATAAGGACTTGAGTTAAAACAAAATTAAAATGCAATAGTTTATTCTAGGTCAGGAAAATTTATGGCAGTCTGCTTTTTCACACAACCACGTGCGACTTGTACAAGGTAATCCTTTTCCATCCTCCCAATAAAGCCAAAAACTATTAAGTAATTAAAGATATTTCTGGGTAACTAAACAGCGTGCATTGAGTTACACACAACTGTTTAGTTACACAGTTGGGGCAGTCAACATGACATTTACAGAGAACATTCTTTTTAGGAGGTTCCATAACTACTCATATTCTTTTTCCACACCAGTTAGAAGCAGTATCAAATCAGCTAAAAAAAAAAATTGGAATACATAATAAATGTGATCAAGTCACCAGATGTATTTTAAAATCCTGCTTAAGTGGTATGTTGCTTTTGCTATGGGGCTGGTAAGAAGGATCTGGCATTATAAAAGAGGTTGTAAACCAGCATGACCGTTGGAGCAGCGTTCTTACTCTGTCCCAAACTTGCACAAAATTTTAAAACAACTTCTTATGCTTCCTGAATCTTGTTGTAGTTTACTATGACATTAATTCTAATTCTCTTGTAAGAGAAGAAAGTCAAAAGAGATGTAACATGGCTATCAAAATTTTTGAGGCAGCATAAGAAAGTTTTTGCAAACTGTCATAGGGCAAAATGACAGTTTGTGCCAAATTCAGGCAACACAAATCATCAATAAGAATTTAGCAGACACTGAAAGGACCGGGCTGCAGAGTTGCATTCTCTAGTGTTATTACCCCATAAACATTTTTGTGGAAGTTAAGAAACAAAATTTTGTAGGAAATTTCATAGGAGTTGATTGAGTATACTTCTGAATAATTTTGAAATACTTAACTTCTTTTTTGATTTAATATATGCATCCTACCTTCAGCGCTCTGACGTTTGGTAAAGAGACAGGAAATCTTTAGCATGTAAGGTGACTTTGCACTTATGCAATTCCACTGCAGTACCATGTGAATGCACCACCAGTCTGTTTTCCAGTGCAAAAGTCTTTATTCTGCTGGGCTGAAAGTTTCCCCAAGTCATGCTTTTTCTAATCAAAAAAAAGATGTTAATCAGCTTACCCATGATCCAAATTTCATCGATCTTTGAAAGAAGAGAACAAAACATTTTACCCAAAAAGATCTTTTAAGTCATTACTAGCTGAGCTGCTGTTTGTCATTGTGTTTGCTGGTTGTGCAAAGTTCTGAGGAGCAAAGAAAGGGTTACCCTGTATACCAAAGCCAGGCTGTGCTATCATGTTCATCTGAGGTCCCAAGACTGAACCACTCGCACTTGGGGACCCTTGCGGGGGTACGAACTGATTAACCCACTGGCTTGATTTCTGTTGAGCCAACTGTTTCATGCTAACTTTGGGTTTTTGAGGACCAAAAAGATTATCTAAAGCAGACATATCTGGGGGTCTGTTTTGTTGTGTCAGTGGAGAGATTGCAGACGCAGCATTCATAGGACTGTAATTTGGCATATTGGCAGTTGGTACAATGTTCATCTTGGTTGTTCCTGTTGCACTTGGACCACTGAAGAAATTCTGAGCGGTGGGACCAGCTCCCATACTGAATCCAGCAGTCTGAAAACCCATATTAGTATTTAGTCCGTTTGTCATGTTTCTCTTTGTGTTGTCAACAGGTGGTGAAAATCCCATTCCAACACCCATAGAAGGGACAGAAGAGAAGTTGTTTGAAGATGCAACTTTAGCTTTGTTGATAGAATGGCTAGTCAAAGATGACATATTATCTATCAAGGTATCTGTCAAGTCTTTTGTCTGCAAAATACATAAAATGCAGTTAAATGCTTTTCCTGTACAAACACTCCAGCAACAGTCTTTATCATTGCTCCTGCAGAAGTGGCATTTGTTTTTCAGAAATTAGAATTTACTGCACAGAATTGGGCATGAAATGTAATTATACACAAGAACAATTAGGTTATTTTTGTTCTTTGCTACTTAGAAGTAATTGTTATGCAGCTTTAATCTGACAACTAAGACTATACACGAAGTACTACTGTGACCATTTGCTTACATGCCCCTCATATTCCCAAGCCCTCTATATATTTAGGTAATAAACTCTTCAGAGCAAAACCTTTTTTAACATGTGCTTTTTCCTTATCTAGAACAATGGCCTTCCAGTAATAATGACATCTTTGGAAACTCCTGCAATTTAAAAAGTGGGAAATATTGCTAATGATGCAAATGGAAGGCAGATGAAAATTTATTTTACTTTTTCTCAGCTGTGCCATTGTACTACCAGTGAACACAAAGGTAAATCACAGGAGAAAAAAAATGCTAAATTGCAGCACTTGAAAGGAAAAAGCATCACAGCTCCCATGGAGACAGTACAGTAGTTTGTTCTTTCTCACCTGCTTCACTGGAGGTGTGATTGCAGTTGCTTGTGGCTTAAGAGGTGGCTGGCTTTTCAGTTTCTGCGCCTGTTCTTGTTCTTTGGCTAACTTTTGCTTCTCTTCAAGTGTAAGTGATGCCTTTAAACGGGAAAGTACTGATACTAAGTTGCACAGAATGGTTATTCTTACATTGATATTTTTATTTCATAAATAGCACTGTTGTTTCAATAATATGTGGTGGAACAATACATATTATTTATGCAGACGAGAAAGTGGATAAGGACAAAATCTATTATGTTTGTCATATTGCTAAAAAGTACTTGAAGCAAATAAATACGATATTAAAAGTAGCATCATGAGAAATTTGGGCAGATCTCAAATAAAGAGATATCACAACAAAACCATTTTAGCTTTGTCTTCTTAATGTTGGGCATAAGAAAATATGTTCTTCACAGTTTTTGTTTTAATATGGTTACCAACTGGAACTTCATATAGAACTTCAACTGACCATGGAGTTGGAAAGGGAATTTTATTTTAAGATTGCTTAAGAAGCTTTTAGGGATTTTAACTCTACTTTTGATAATGATGAAGGATAAAACCAAAAAATCATTCCCCCTTAGTCTAAAATTAGTGAGAGGGTTCAGATAACCTGAAATGGAAAGGACAAAATGTATAGATTCCAGGGATCCATTTACATAATTAATAGCATGAAAAGAATTTTACAAGAGTTTATGCTTATGTTTAATATTCTATGTCATGTTATGCTTTTTCTTTGCTTCTGGTATTTATCTCCATATTGACTATTTGTTTTCATGTAACTTTGAATAGTACAGTAAATGTTAGTCTCTGCTACTACATGAAATTCTGTATTTTATGATAACATTACAAACAGAGATGAAGATAAGTTTGCCTATTTTGATTTTCCTATCTAAATCCACTGCTGAAGTTTCAGCTTCATTGAAATCTGTAATTAAGGAGAAAGAAAACGACCAAAAATTTATAATCTTAATTGCTGTCTACTTTGTACAAAGCCATTTTCAAGGAAAGATTTTCACAGAAATTCAAGGATGTGATCTGAACATTTTTCAGTGGACCTTCACATATGACTATGTATGGTGCTGTGCTACAGAAAAGCAGTTAGTTTTTCTTTTAAAGCTTTCAATACGGTAAATGTTTACACATACTCTTTTTATGCAACTGTATCAGCCTTGTATTAGACAGATGGATGTAATACAATCCCAAACCAAAGTAATACACACCTTTTTCTGTTTTGATGACATCTCATTCTCTTTACTATCAGATCCACTAGTTAGGAGGTCAGTTCCACTAGTATTAAATACCTTGTCAATCTGTTTAAGTTCAAAGAAACAAAACAGTCATTCGAAATGCTGTAATTTAAGGTAACATAAACATTGACTAAGTAATGTTAAATTTCAAATTTCTATACGTAAGCAACGCAATAAAATATTGTCGCTTACCTGATTACTTGTACTACTAGATCTTGCCTCTTCAGACACGCTCATTTGGTTAGCTATATCCAAAGATCTATATAGTGCAGAGCATGCATATTACAAAAAGATAACTTTGCAGTCACATCCACAACATTAATTCAGCAATGCAGATTATTATTCTGCATTTAAACAATACCAAAAAATTGCATTATGAGAGCACTGCCATTTTTATATAGAATGCCTGTAGGAGACTGGAAAATGTTAATATTCTAAATTGTAAATGTTTCCTAATGATCATTTCACATGGTCTTAGTTCCTCCTTTTGAATGGGGTGACACAGATTTTGGATAGCCCGAGTTAATTTGTCTCAGAAATCTTGCCTCACAGCAGACTCCCTAAAATAGCTCTAAATATCTTCGAATATCATAATGTCCTGGTTTTGGCTAGGATAGAGTTAATTCTAAAGGCTGCAATGCTTATGTTTCTCCAGTATGGTTTATTTCTCAGCAACTACAGAAAAGCAACTTAGCATATAGAAGCAAGACGTAAACTGTACTAGTGGAGCTCAGTATGAACTTTTACATTAATGAATTAAAAATTATTGACTTAAAATAGTAAACTGTGACTGAACTGTATAAAAATAAAGGATTTTACTCTATAAAACCACTAACCACAATATTTTTATCATTCTAGGACTAATAAATTTTCTGACAGCTGTGCTTATTTGAGGTAATTCTCAACTACTGAACTAAGAATTTCCTAGATTTTTTATTGCTATGGCTGGAGTTTTCTCACATTTGCTAAAAAATAAGCTGAAATTTATCTCTGCTTACTTGATCCTTCTCTAATACAAACATAAACAAACACTTACTTCTGTTGCTCTTGCATGACATGAAGTTGCTCAAGTTTCGTTTTATGCTCTGCTTCCAATCTACTAAGCATATCTTTTATAACACAAATAAAAGAATTGAACTGGAAAAGAAATATACAAGAAGTTTGGATTTTGCAGTGATGGAATTCAGACATGTATAACTTAAAAGGTAATACCTTATAAAACTTAAAATATACAATGTCAGATAAACTGCAGATTTTTAAATTATTTATAATCCACCTTCACTATTTTGGATCAGATACCAAACTATAAGCAGAATGTATACTGAAACCGTGAAAAATATATATCACTAAAGAAAAAAAAGAAAAGTGGGGCAATGCAGACAAAAAACACCCATAGATGAGTATTATCAGATTCATTAAAAACAACAACAAAAAATCCTATTAGGTGTTCCATTCCCTAAAATTTCATAGCAACATGATTGCACTTCTACATTAACTACAACATTTACAAACAAAAGAAAGGGAACAAACATTAAGGTTGTACTTTAGCCTTTAATTTGAATGGTAATTATGTTAGTAGGTAATTGCTTTTGCAGGATATTTGGAAGGTGACAGTATTTATTTTGAACTTTTATACTAGGATCAGTTAAATCCACTGAAAAATAACAAGCTTTAAACATGCAAATACAGCAATACTTGAAGTTTGTTTGTTTGTTTTTAGAACACAGACATACAGTAATGTATGGTTTTTTTCACTGACAACAGTTTAAACTTATTCTCTGCCAATTACCAAGTAAAAGCATGCAAAACAGTAATGTTCCTACCTGATTGAGATTAAGATTGTTCTCAATACTAAGAGGAATCAGATGGGGCAATACTTTTCCTGCAAGCTGTTCTTTGGTTATTCCCAACTTCTTATGAGTAAATGTACATTTGTAAATACCTGACATACAACATCAAAACAGTGAAAATTGTTAAGTGTAGTAAACAATGTGAACAAACTCCAAGTAGCAGGCTTGAATATGTATTGATCACCTGAACATACACTGGCCCTGTGTGCAAGCAGGGACAAACACGATCAATCATAAAAGCTAAGTACTCATCCACAACACAAACATATTATAGCAACAGGCTTTGCTAAGTTCAGAACAAGAGGAGGTCCAAAGTAAGACTTTGCAGCTATGAAACCTGATACCAGTTAATGTATTTTTCAATTGTCTAAGAATATGCATCAATTATCTAAGAATATGCATCTTTGAACAGATCATGAGCAACTGAGTTACCACAAACTGACAAACCGCCACTGAAAAATAAAGTTGCATTATACCTAAGGATGTGTTATCTCCTGGCACATTGAAGTGGCTAAGATTAACTATCACACTGCTCTGATTGCTTTTTACAAAGACTCTTACCTAGGAGTTTGGGGCTGTGTTACATACGGGATCAGAAATCATGCATAGACTTTATCTGTTCAAAAATCGCTGAAAAAAAGAATACTGACAGGCATGAAGGATCCAGTGTTAAGCCTACAAGTTCTATAGCATTTCTGACAGGATTCCTCTGCTTCAATAGTTCAACTCTGGTGGCAAACACTGAGCATACTAGCATAAAAGAGGCAGCAGCTTTCCTTACTTTCTATAGCTAGTATTTGAACAGAGCTGTCAGCTGACCAAAGCAGATATCACATACAAGATGGAAGGTGTTATGATTCCAGAAAAAAGGAAAGCCCAAGTATATAAAATTGATTTCAGCCCATCATTTCCAAACTAGAGTTCATTTATCCACTATATCTGAGTAGAATTCAGGAATAATACAACTAGAGTAAAAGATACACTGTCCCTCATTCTCACACAGCAAATACAAGTTAAAGCTAAAAGGATTAAGGGAAACAGGCAGCTTTAAATGAGTACAGAGGAAAGATGCCTTCTTGCTGATTTTGAGCAAATCGAAATGCTGCCATCACATATTATTACAGTGTTTAACGAGGGCTATTGCTGGTACAGCTCAACCATTAGAAATGGTCTTCTGTCTACTACTTCACTGTCAGTAAGAGAAATAGTCATTGTCTTCCAGACTTGGCCACATAGTCACACCTCTTTCTAGTCATCTGGACTCCTTATGCCCATTGAAGTTGCTAAAATCACACATCCTGAGTTATGCAAGCATCAGAGCGGCACTGGGAAAGCACAACTCAGAGTGAGGCCTCCCCTTCCAGAAGTAACAAGCCACTAGGTTTTATTAGCTGTTTTGTGAAACCTCACCCAGACTGTGCTCCATTTCAGCACAAATGTAGGAGAAGATCAGGTTCGAGAATATCTA